CCCCCACCCCCCACCCCCATCTCTGTTTTCCTATCTGTAAAATGGGGATAATGATCCTGACCTGCCTAGTAAATATAGTCTCTGGTGCCCAGATCTCTAACTTTTCTTTGATAATTCAGTCTAAGAGACTAAATAATGCACGGCTTGGTTAAATAGCATCTACTAGCAGCAGGAGTTAGGTGAAGAGAGCTGATTTTCTTCAAGTATTTTAACATTCTTAACACCAGAAAGGGAGAGTGCTTTAACTAGAAGAAATGATTTGTAACTGAGCCAAAGCAAAAATAGCTTGAGTCTCAGGCAGATCTTCCCGAGGTGTGTTTGCCTGTGGAACAGACTCCCCAGGGGAGCAGCACAATCCCCTGAAGTGCAGGTTGCAGATGTGCTGTGGGCATGCAGCAGGCTGGCTGTATTCTGCGCTGCAGTCCGGACTTGTGATTGCAGCTCATGGAAATATTTAGCTGAAGCACTGATAATAGCACAGCCATGGCAGCAAAGCTTTGTTTCAGGCTTCAAAGCCTACCCAAATAAATACCTGGGTTGCTCGCCCATGCTGGGCACTCTGCTACACTGCTAGTAGCATCTGAGCTAGATAGCTGACTGCTCTCTTGGAGAAGTCTACATGTGCTACGGTCACCCCTCTGGATTGCTGCGTGGTCCCTATAAGTCAGCACCAAATATAAGACTCGGCTGCTGCCCAAAGAGATGAGTTGCCTCATTCTGGGAATGAAGCATGTTTTTTATGCTCTTCTGCAGCACTATGTTACATCCATTTACCAGGTTCAGCACATGTGGCAGGTGCCTTCCACTGTATCCCTGTGTTTCACTGTGCTTCTTCCTGGCACCATCAGAGGCAGGGTCAACACGCCCCTTGCCTTTGCCATGCTGCCAGGTGGCACTGGCGGCTGCGGTGTGCTTTAATCTCCTGGGTTGGCGGCCAGCCCAGAGCCACCGAGGAGCATGTGGCGGGTGACGTGGGAGGGATATAATGGAACAGATCAAGATTAAAAAAAAGAGTGACTCGAGCAGCTGTGCTGTTGGCACGAGCTCAGCTGAGGAATCAGGAGAAGGCCTTTGGCCAGAAGCTGCCATATGTGGGACCCACAGAGACCAAATGCATGAAAGACAAATGTGTGGAGGTGGAAAGGGCTTTAGAGGGGTCCTGCATTTCGAACCTAACCGCCCCTGAAGGCTGAGAAGAGGAGTCCGCCAGGGAGGGTCTGGGCTTTGCAGCTCTGTTAGTACCCCTTGCTGGTCTTCCCAGAGTAGTAGCAGTAGCAGTTTCATTTCTGTAATGAAACAGCACAATCCTTATCTTAGAGATGTGGAAGCAGTAAGTAAAGCACTGGAGGAACAATTTGCAGGGCATGGAATATATACATAAAACAGCTCCCGAGATTCAACGCACACTCACACAAGGTATGCTTGGAAGTGCCTGGAAGGGACAACTGCTGCAGATGTAAACACCCCAGCACATGAGGAAATGTGGATGAGGATGAGGATGTTCAACCCTCCTGCAGTCCAGCGCATGTTGCAGTCCTCACACCATTCTCTGCTTTACGGTGAATAGTCTGTGCAGATGCAGAGAGGAACACCCCTCTGCCATTAAACCCCATCTACATGAGCAAAGTTACCCATTACTAAACAGCAGTGAATCCCCCTGAGCTGGGGTTGAGAAAGGCTCTAGGTGCTAGAGCAAGTGAAACCAACTCTCCTCTGATCTGGCTGTAATGGTGCTGAAAGGGGTTTCGACCTGACCACACAGGCAGTTCGCTGAACTGCTCCAGCACCAGTTTGAAGAGACACCCCGGTTCCCTTTCCAGCATAATCCTGCAGTCAGCAAACATCATTTCATTTCCATGTTTTCAACAGATGCTTTTGACTCTTTTATTTGGTCCCTAGGAAGCACACTCAGTTTTAAAACAGTGACTGAAAAAAATCCACATCAAGTTACTACAGGAAACACTGGTCTATGGGGGCTCGCGGTGATGACAGTCCTTCCTCCAGGGTGGTTTTTCGGGAGGAGAAAGGAGAGACTGCCAGATGAGACTAGACAGAGATGGAAAGCCAGAGAGGGAAAAGAAGGAAAACCAAAAAGGGAAAAAAACAGCTAATAATAGAAGTGGGGAGAGCATGCCAGACCGTGGGGCATGGCAGCTGTCATTTGGGATGTTATTAAGGACATTCATTGTGCAACACACACGTCCGGATCCCCGTCTGACTGGCATCAATACACTTTTTTGTTTCACTCTCTTTGGAAAAGGGGCCTTAATTAGGCATGAAGAGATTTATCAAGCAGCGGCCTTCTGGAGCAGGCTGGTCCCAGCGACATCTGGCGTGATGGCTTCCAGCACAGATCCAAACAGCAGCCGCAAGAAATTAAGAAGACCAACGGCTTCTCCAATGCTCCCACCTCTTTTCTGTCTCCATTCAGCTGAGAAATCCAACCAGCGCTCACCCAGCGTTAGCCGTGATACTGAGGGGAAAGCAAACCCCCAAATACCCATCTATCCTCTAACAAACAGCCAACCTGCTTCAGTGCCTTGTTTGGTCTCAGCGGCTGCAATGTGTTGTGCTGGCTTCCCTGGCCATTTGATTAAAGCAGGGATGATAAAGCTGGTTTCCAGTGGGGTTTTCAACTCATTGGCGATAGCTATCCTCCCAGTGCTTCAGATGCCATGTGCCTAGAGGTAGCACTAAACTGAGTACTGGTTCCTGGGACTGGGCTATAGGACTTGACCCAGAGCCCACTAAAGCCTGCAGGCTTTTGTGCACACAGATAAAACTGGCAGGTCCTAACTATGATTTTTCTGCTCCTGATTATATCATAATGGAGAATCATTGCTTTAAACCACTGGTACTGATCACACTGAACTGAAACAAGGTTTGCCATTGATTTCAATGAGCAGAGACTTTCACTCTTGGCTTAGTATATTTTCTTGCAGCGCTGGGGAACCGGGATCAATTCCAGGAACAGACATGGTGCTGAGAGTTTCAGCCTGCTGCCGTGTTGCTTTGCATACATCTGGCATGTCCTTTGATTCAACAGAGAAGAAGGCCCAGGAATATCTGACATGTGAGCCAAGAAAACAAACCCATTGTTTTCTTTAAAGCCACCAATTATGCATTGCCCCTGGATAGATCTCTGCAATCTCTACAAGCCACATGGGGAGCTCATTGCTTTTTTAAACTACCCCCCAGGAAGACTTCTAAGTAATATCCATGCCTCTCTAAGTAGCAAAACAGCTTCCTTACAAAGCCCCCGCCCCCCCAACAAAGGCATAATGAGCAGTTTCTGAGCTCTGGGTGGTGGCAGAGGCGGTGGCCACCTCTCTTCCACTGCCTCAAATCAGTGATGGGGCTTGGTGGTCCACTCTCCCCGCAAGTAGTTACAGCACTGCTCTCCACTTCCCCACGCGAGGGAAATGGCCTGTGCTCCTCCTCGAGACAGCCGCCGGGCTGTTCGCTCTGGCACGTCAGGAGCCACGTATGTTCTAATCCATTTAAAAATAAAGCTCACACTGTTTATATTACTTTATTTTATTTTTTTAAAAAGGTTTGATAACAGCAATCACTACCTTGGCTCAGGCCTGTCCCCAGAGGATCAGTAAAAATCTTCTATTAACAGTCTGGCAACTTCCTTTTTAGCCATCACCTCCTCCTGGCTGGGCATGAATCCCCAGGGAATGTTCTGTCTTGAGCAACCGTTCATTAATTGTGTGATGCTGCCGAAGTTTGCAAGACCCACTTGCTTTTTTTTTTTTTAATTAATTTCTTCCGCCCTCCCTCCCCTCTTAAAAAATACAAGCAATTAAGTTGAAATAAGGTTCAAGGTAGGATGCACATTCACCAAATCAAGCTGAAGCTAATTGTTAAGGCCAAAGTTCAGCTTGGAGAAAAAAAAAAAGCCTCAGGCAGATCATTTCCTTGGGTTGGGAAGAAACATCCCCTTGGGGCAGATTAGCCCACAATTAGTCTACTGCAGTGTTACAAGCATCTGGGCTTGAGACTAGCTACCAGAGTAGATGCCGACAGTATGGCAATTCCACCACTCCTAAACATGACTCAAGCTTTGTCTATATGATAAAATTCCTGCCCCAGGTGACAGTACCTACAAGCATGCGGCACTCCTTCAGACAGGCTGCCTGCTGAGCTGGGAGCATGGCCGCACAGGCAGGTTAATTAGCATGGAGACAGGCTAACTGGTACTGCCACTCAGTGGTGTAAATTAGTCTGCGTGGACATGGCTACATCACTTCTGTTTAGAAGACAGTACATCTGGAGCAATGCAGTGCACTTCCATTGCTGCTGCTGGTGAAGGTGGGGCATTTTGTAGAGACACAACCGCGTAGTTCTGCCTTTTCAATGTGGTGGTAGGCATTTGGATTATAAAGGGACAATGTCAATTAGCTTAACTTGAAAATGCTGGATGGAAAGCATGGAAGCATGTGCCTAGTGCAAACCAGAGCTCTTTCACGATTAAAGATAAACTTCTTTAATGGCACTTGTTGATCTTAAACCTCCCGAACCTCCAAACAGACATCAGGGAATGACATTAGAATAGACCTCACCAATCTTGGTTCATGGTCAAACAACAAGATAGAAAAGCCAGTGTTGGCAAGCAAACTTGGTTTTTAGAACCATTTCTTTGTCATAAAATAGATTTTGTTGCTAACACAGAGGTGGGTTTTACTTAGAATTTCTTGAAAAAATGGGTGATTTCCACTCCTGTGTAAGTAGGCCAGCATGGAGCCTGCATGAGTTGTATTCAAGCCTTTCCAGTATAAGTTAGCTTGGACTTAAGTGGTCCATAGACCTTCTACTGGTTCTTTCTGCAGGGGTGCAGATCAACCTCTGGGATTCAGTCTTGGTAGGCTCCCTTCCAGCCCTCACTTTTGATCTTTCTGCTTGACTGGGTCACAATCCCATTGCCCATTTTTTGGAGTGGGGAGGCCTGTTTAACAGGTTGCTACTGGGAACGAGGAGCTAAGTGTGCTTCTGGTTTCCACTGCTGCCCTCCTCAGACTGACTGCTGGTTTGCAGCAGCCCTCCAGCTACATCCCAGCACCGTTGCTTTTTACTAATAGTTCCTTAGGAGAGAAAGAGAAAAGCACAAACACAGCACCCTTTGGAGAGCATCTGCCCAGTCTTTTATACAACATCAACTGCGCTGTCTCCTTGAAGGCCCCAGGCCTCCTTTCAATGCAACAGTTGCAAATCTGATTTTAACCAGCACACCACTGAGAGCCCCTTTTGGGGGTTCCTGGAGTCACAGTCACGTTCTCACGCTGCATCTCGAAGGCTGCATTCACAGCCCGGTGGTCTTTCCACACAGGCTGCAGCCTGAACCACCGGGATGGATCTTGACTGGTGACCACCTGGAAGATACTGCGTGCCATTCACCGGAGGCAGCAGGGCAGGCCCGCTGGACTGAAGGTGCAGCATTTCTCAGCTGGGCCCGACTGCATTTCTCCGTGCCTGTCCAGTCACTCAGGCAATCCCTCAGCTGTGAAGCCACAAGCAAACCTCCCCTCCCCGCTCCCCCCACAGCCCTACCATTAGCACTGAGCCAAGAACACTACTTACTGAGAAGTGCCAGCACCTGGGTTCTTGGTCAAACTAACTAACTACCAACCTTGGACCAGTCACGACAAATGGCCTAATATTTACCCGTTGCCCTAACACATCCGTACAAACCAAGGCGACCTTCGCATCGTAGAACTACCTTCCTGTTGAGCTTAGCCAGCCCAAGGCAAAGTCATTTCAGACCTTCCTGCAACTCATCTGTCCCTTCCTTGGTGAACACCAAACAGTTATAATACTCAGGTCAATATATATAGGTACCACATATATATATTTTTGTCACTGTTCTGCGCGTTAACAAAGAAAACCAACCCCACTAGCCACCACTTGTCCTTTCCTCCCCTACCCCCAGTCTCCTGTGGTGTGTAGCCTGCAGGAACATGAGCGCGGCAGCCCGTCTTACGTGGCCCCATCGCATGCTCCCACAGTCAGTTTCAAGGCTCCCTGCTGGTGCAGCGTCTTTAAGGCTTTGAACTCCAAGGGCATGGTGTGCGGACTGGCCTGAGAGGTGTAGCCATACTTCAGGCTGTCGTAGTAGTGGTACTTGACAGGGTTCTGGTTCTGGTCCAGGGGAAATGGCCAGAAGCCATAGAGATAGATCTTGTTGCAGAAGCGGGTGGCCAGGGTGTACATGAGCAGGCCAGTGGTGGGTCGTTTTATGTGCACTTTGTTTGTGAGCCAGTACCTGGAGGGGAAGAGAAAACACAATCCTGTTGTTTGTGATATATCCCCCCGCCGTGTCACGTGCATGACACCTGCTTGCACTCTGCCGAAGCAGATTCAAAACTCAGACATGCTTGATTGATGTAATCGTCCCGCTTGCCAAGAAATAACCTCTGCTGGGTTTGCTTCATGAATAAACATTTCCTGCCAGTCTGTCTGTCTGTCGAGGCATTGACATCACGCTTGTCACTACCATATTCAAGTACCTTATGTCTCTGTAATGATTTGTGAATAACAAATCTCCTTCAATGGTGGCTTTCAGTACTTCACTTTACAATTATTTTGCAAGCAACACGGAGATCGATATTACAGACCAATCCATTGATTAATACTAGAGACGGGATCGTGGATTCCTTTAACAACCTCCCCCCCATAAATAGCTTAAATGACTCATCATTCTCACTGAGGCATGATGAATTTACTCTAATAATAAATGTAATGGAGTTGTGGAAATATCTGCCTTTGCATTAGAGATCGTCATGCTGGGAATCCTGAAAAATGCGGCTGTTGGCTACGGCACCTAATGGTCCCTTACTCAAACACAACCACAATATTCTGGTGTTAATGACAGACTAAGGCTGTGCAGCAGAGAGTTGCAGGAGTGGCTCGGGGCCATCACTTTTGACTACTACATTAATTTTTGTGAGAGAGAGCAGAAAGAATGAGTGGAAATAACATCCTGTAGCAATGGGCCAAACGCCAGCAGAAAGCCCTTTGTTAGGGGGGTGTTTTGGGCTGTTGTTGGAAAACAGTGTGGTATTATTGTACTGTAATAAGGGATGTTACCAGTTTGACAGCTTAGAGTAGCTACTTGCTGAGCAGAGAATGCTTTGCTATAAAACCCACAGTAAAAGGAAAGAGGTAGGAGGCTGGAAAACCTCCCCAGGGTGTATGCTTCCCCTCGGTCACATTTGATATTGGCCATGTTCTACAGCTGGTGTCCCTGGCTGCAGACAGAGTTTCCTGCAGTTCCTGAAGCTGCAGCTGGCCTGTGATCATTCCTGGCTTGCACTTCCCAAGAGGCCATGGGGAACCTGTTCAAACACTTGCCATGGTGCATGTTCACTTTAGATGCCCATGGATGATTCGTAATAAAGTTTTCAGAAATAACGAGTTTCAGGTGACTCTGCCTGCAAGGCTGATGATGGTTTTCAGCAGCTCTGTGAGGTCTTTCACAGCTCTGTGAGGCCTTTCTGTGGGTCCTTCTAGCAATTTGAATATCAACTCCTCTCTCTTGGGTCCTGATCAGCAAATGCATCCTCCTGCAAGCCCTTCCATACAGGTGCAGTTGCAGTGATTTTCATAGGATCCCTGTGGGTGTCAGGGTTTGGATACTGGGGGGGCCTGTGCAGATCACAGCCTAAGTCCTGAAAGTGATCTCTGCACAAGAGGTATTAGAATTTACCAGGCCAGGCACAAATCTACCTGCCCATCTCCAAATAGATGGGGAAAAAGCAACTTGCCCCAGGTGAGCTAGGGAGTAACATTATGAAGGTGGAGCGAATCTGGCAGATAACCTCGTGGGTTCTCAGACCACTCTAAGGGCATGCAAAGAGTCCTGCTTTCCTGTGGGCTGTCTGCAGTGATGGCTGGCTGATAACCACCATCAGCTGTACCAGAGCTCCTGGGGCTGTGGAAAAGCGCTCTGATTTGCTACTTCAGGCAGGAACAGCTCAGGAAGGTGCTGCCGCTTGGAATGATTCAGCTCCTTGGCAGCCAGTATTTGAGAAGTGAGGTGCTTGCAGAAATCCAGGATGTGGCTTCTTCCCAAGCCCTCTGCTCAGAGGAACTGTCCCTGGATTTTTTTGGACTTGCCCAAACCCATGTGCTGTACTATCAAGAAGGCAAACCCTGCTATTGTAAAGAACCACAAGGCTATGAAACAAGGTCCCTGTGCATTTTAAGCCACAGTCCAAAGGTCTGCCATTGGGTTGCTAAGGCAAGGAGAGAAATGGGAGTTTACTAGAGCCATTTAATTCTGAGAGTCAGGGACAAGTTGTTCACCAATGAAACTACCACAATCATCCTTACGGGAAGATTCATAAAGTCACATTCATCCGTTGACTTCAGTGGAGTTACATCAAGGATGACTTGGTCCCATACAACTTAATGGCCTCAAAATTACCATCACCACCTCTGCTAGTCTAATATGAATGTCTTAATAGCATCTCGCTGGACCACACCTTGGGCTGTTACATGACAAAACACAGAGGAATAGTACCTACTTATGACCTGTCGGAGGCATTTTCCTTCAGGTACTGTTTGTGGGTGGGATATGGGGCAATAAACCTCTGTATGTATAGCGATCTGCTGGTGCCAGGGGGAAACGCACTTGCTGCTCCAGTGGTGAGGGGCTGGGATGACATGGCCTGGAGAACAAGCTCCAACTCTGAGCTCTCCCTGAGATAGAGAAGGAAATGGATGCATTGAAATGAATGAGATCCAGGGTAGCAGTCAAGCTACAGGACTGGCTGCACTGTGGAAAACACATTTCTTCCTTGCTTTTCAGGAAATGAAGACTTCTCCAGTGAGCTCTTGGAAGGACATGGGGTCCTGCTTAATGAGGAGCTTGTGTGAGCAGCCACTTGAGTTATGCAGGAACAAATTGCTCTCTTATCTCTTTTGCTGTTCTGGTCACATTAGATGGTGTCCGCATTACTGGCGCATGCCCTGTTCCTGTTTTGGGAGGACAGCTGGGGACTGAAACAAAAACTAATTAATTTTGCAAATCCAAATGAGGTTGTCTGGGCGCAATTGGGATGCTATGTCAACAGCACACCTTTAATATGCGAGGTCTGGGATTTTAATTAGGAGGCGAGGTAAGCTTGAGGAAGGCAGTAATTATTTTTCAAATTGGCTATACCAGTCACTGTAACCATTAACTGCAACACTTTATGGAAACAGACAGCAATTAAAGGGGGGAGCTAAGAGCAATCTTGCAACGTGATACCGTCCTTCCCTGAGCCCTTCCTAGCAGCCGACACCTTTCTCAGAAGGTATCACGGTATCAGGTATCCAAATAAACCTTCAGAGGCTGAAGCAGCATTCACAGACAGGGGGAGTGAATGCAGAAACTGTACTACCAGCCAGCAAAAACTGCCTGAAACTGTTCTTATATAGGCTTGTAATAATAACAGATAGACTGGAGCTAGACTGTTCTCAGTGGTGGCAGATGACAGAACAAGGAGCAATGGGCTCAAGTTGCAGCAAGGGAAGTTCAGGTTAGATATTAGGAAGAATGTTCTCATGAGGAGCATAGTAAGACACTGGAACAGGTTACCCAGAGAGGTGGTGGACTCTCCATCCTTGGAGATTTTTAAGACCTGGTTAGACAAAGCCTTGGCTGGGATGATGTAGTTGGCGCTGGTCCTGGTTTGAGCAGGGGTTGGACTAGATGTGACCTCCTGAGGTCCCTTCCGGCCCTAATTTTCTACGATTATATAGAAAACCCTTTTAAATTACCCAGTCCATCCCTTGTAAGGAGATAGCTTTATGGAAGACTTATTACCTATTAAACTGATGGCAGCCAAGAAGACAATAGCTGGAAGCAGGGATGGTGCTTTTCTAGGTGACTGTCCCCTCACTAGTCAGTACTCCTTGTTCCCATGTGGCACAACCATCTTTTAGAGAAGACAGTTTTAAAACAGAGCCCCTGAGGCCTCTAGGAGTCTCTGGGGTCCTAGAGGCCACAGGGCCTCCTAGGAAATCCCAGCGCATAATTTGTCCAAAACCAGTTCAATGAGAACAGCACCAGGATGCTGGAGCAATTGGGATGATATTAACTTCCAATGAAGTTGCCAGGACCTCTGGTAACTTCCAATGAAGTTGCAATTTCTCTCCTAAAATGTTGCATGCCATTACCGCGTGCTGTTCAACAGCTGATGTACCCACTCCAGAAGAAGCTGCATTGTGAAAGGAACGCAGGTGGGCACTGTACAATGCATCTCTCTCATCGAGTGTGGGTTGTGAGCCTTCTGGATAAAAGGCACTGGGAATTGAAATCGTAGGCGGTTGTGAAACGGTAGCCTCCACTGTGGTTGAGGACAGCGGCAGAGCCTCTATCCTGCTTCTCTGTAGGAGCTACAAGTCACTCTTCTAACACTCATCTTTACTCAGCACCATCCTACATGCAGAATTCAGAGAGTGGAGCTTGTCTTAATTCATGTTGAAAAGTTCAGTGCAAAAATCCTGCCTGTGGGCTGCCAGTTGTTAGCTTCAATACTAGAGTGCCATGGCCTGATTCATAGCTAGACACCAGCCACAGCCACAGCCACAGCCTTAGCCCTATGCTGCTGTGTCCAACAAAACCCTGGCATGGCTTGCACCCATACTTTGCTAAATTCAAAAGAGAGGCCAAGCAGAAAAATCCTGATAGAAGCAAGCTGCTAGAATGAGTAAATGGAACTCAGATGAGTCAGGAAATTATATTACAAGAGCACTGAAGTAATGTAACTCCATAACTCCAGGCTCTTTTAAACCAGCTTATTTAAAAAGGTGTGATATAGAAACAAACATGCTGGCCAGGAGATATCAGCCTCTTGTCTAGAAGGAGGACAGTTTCAACTTGCTATATATATATTCTAGTTAGATGAGTGAGTCAAATTCTACTCTCAGTTACACTGTCTGCAGTGTGGAGTGAAACTGTTGAGAGTTACTCTGGATTTATATTGGCATAGCTGAAAGCAGGTTCTGGTCCAGTATTTGGCCTACCTGTATCAATAATGCAGCTACGATCGTAAGGCAGGCAAGGTTCCCAGGGTGTATGTGATATCTTTTATTAGACCAACTGAGTAGTTGGAAAAAAGGTCTTTCCAAGCTTTCGGGCGCAATCAGAACCCAAAATCTTGCAAAGTACTTTTTTCCAACTACTCAGTTGGTCTAATAAAAGATATCACATATACCCTGGGAACCTTGCCTGCCTACGTCCTCAGACCAACACAGCTACAACCAAAAATCCAGCTA